ACCGATTGTGAAACAAATAGGCAGGAAGAAGTGGAGGCTGATTGACTGACCATACTCTGAGGAAAACATCAAGTGACATCACTAGACAAGCCATCGGTCGAGTGGAACCCGAAAGGGAAGCGGCGAGTTGGCCGTCAGTGCGAATGTGTGGTGACATGGAGGAGGTCATGTAGAGAGGAGATGAAAGCTTGTGGGGAGACTTGGAGCCAGGTGAAAACTCTAGCAGAGAACCGAACGCAATGGAGACGCGTGGCTGAAGCCCTATGTTCCTCTAGGAATTAAAGGAAATAATAATAGTAATAATAATACTGTTTAACAGGTAAGGATTGATCAGGTAATCTTAAAAATATCACAAGTTTATAATTATTCAAATCAGCTGTACTGTGATAGTATTGATAAAGTATATTCATGGAATGTCCAAGATACAAAGGGGAAGTGCTAAATGTGTTCTTTGTGTAAAGAAAATAAAAATAGATTAATACGTTAAGAAATTCGACTTAATAGGAATTTTCTTCATTTCAAAGTGTATCTAATCACTAGGGTGCAGTTCCACCACAATTTTGAACCTTTCAGATTCACATAATTCGTCTAGCAATCTAACCAGAGACCATCAGCTTACATGAAGAGCATATTTAACCCCTGAAGAAATACTAGTTGGGTGATGCTAAATAGTCTGAAACTAGAACAAAACCACTATTGGGGGCACTCAGATTTTCAGTGGTTATGAGTTCATACAACCTACTTTGTGATAAATCAGTGTCAAGATAAAGTTGAATTTCGTATTGTCAGTGGTTACATTTATTTCAGTGTATAGTTGAAGTATGTCTGATGATGTAATATGCGGCATACTTTAATATTTTTGTAATTCTATCCAGTAAGTAGGTTGTACTGATTACTGTTTAGAAGAACTACTTCAATTCAGGTCAGCTGAATATACTATGGATTATTTTGCTAGAATTCAATGTTTTCCTTGTACTTTAACGGTCTAAAACTCTCCTTTACCGACCTTCGTCATAATAATCTTACAATTACAATTCACCTTCAACGGTGAAATCTACAGACAGAAAGATGGAATTGCAATGGGATCTCCTCTTGGTCCGCTTTTAGCAGACTGCTTTATGGCCAGTTAGGACAGTGGAGCTTTAAAATCAACAATAAACAAGTTACTACTGTACAAAAGGTAGGTTGACGATACCTTTATAGTCTGCTACGATAACTCGGACGTCAACTGCATCTTACAAGAATTTAATAATTCCCATCCTCCGATTAAATTCACAATGGAATTAGAAAACGACTCAAAGATTCCACTTCTGGACGTGGAATTAACACGAAGAGATGATGGAACCCTGAAGAGTTCCATCCACAGAAAACTGACATGGAACTGCCAACTAACGCATTTCTATATTTGGATACATTTGAGCCGAAAACGAGCTCTCATCATCGCACTAACTCATCGCATTAGAAAAATCTGCAGCAGCGATTGCATGGAAGAGGAGCTCCTATTCCACAAAATAGCTACCCGACACGTCTCATAGAGAAGAACATGAAACATAAACCAGAAAGAGAAGAATGAGATTCAGCGACAAAGAAAACGCTGTATATGAATCTGAATTTAGGGGGAGATCTGGCAGCCGATATCCTGAAGAGGAGAATATCCAACTCTTATAAAGAAGATCTTCCCTGCAGCGACACTAAGAGTGACATTATCTAGCCATCCAATACTTCGAAACAATGCAAAGGACAAACTCTCGCATATGACCAATACAATGTGCATATACCAGTTCACTTGCTCGTGCGGAGCTAGGTATGTGGTGAAAGCAGGCTACTAGCCGATTGGTTGACATTAATCTACGTCAATGTCTAGGTCACTAATATGGGCCGTGAGAAAATATGGACAAGGCTGTTTCAACAACCAATCACAGCAAACTTAAACGTGGACAAATATGATTCGCAGATAGATGGCTCTACTTTCCGAGAAATATTGAAAACAACCAATCAGAAGACTGTGTTTGTCTGCTTAACTTCCGGGAAACAACCAATCAGAAGACTGACTTTTTCTGCTTGCATAAGCCTTATTAATGTACATTAAATGTATATAAATACGTGTTGATTTTCGTAATAAAACGATCTGTTGCCATCTCTTGTCTTCTGTTGCTACAGGTACATAGGTCTTTGTATGCGCGACCTTTTAAAATGTGTTAGAGAACATTACCCAGCGTAGCTGCAAAGAGGAGACACCGGTTAAATCAGAAGTTCCATTATTGAACATCTGATCAACACCACCTACAGCACCTAAACTGATTCATTCAAAGTTATTTACAAAGTCAACAGAAACCTACCAAAAACAGTATGTTTCCGACTTCTCTGTACTGCAGAAGCCCTCGCAATATGCGTCAAGAAGCCGGAGCTGTGTGTTCCAAAGAAATTAGTCCAACCTCTACAACTACTATGGACCTAGTTCGGTGTGTTCCCTTAGCTTCCGTTTTTTTCTTCTTCCGTTCTCTTTTTCTTTTTGAGCTTTTTTGTTCGCTGTGTGTGTGATTCTTACTCCCACAGTCTTCATTCGATTCACCCCATTTTTTCAGTTATAAAAAACAGTTATTTTAAGTTTGTTTCCCTGCTTTTCATATTACTCTTGTAACTGATCATTGTCTTTTTTATTCCTTTACGTTCCCGGTGGGACATAGAGTTTCCAGATAGAGCTTTGAAGTGTCGGCCGGGAATCGAACGACGAACCATCTGCGAGGTTAGGCGTGATTCTACCACTCTGCCACCGACACAATATCATTACCACAGGATTATAAATACCTTTACGCGTCACATTATGATTTAATGGTGAGATGATTGGAGATTGATTTGGTTCTGCCGCTCACTATCCGCGATCAGACTAACAGTGGAAAATGAATCTGATGTTCACTAATGACTGACCACAAAATGAATTTGCCAGGAATTCTAGTGAGAACTTGTGACCAATGAGGTTCACCAAGTAGGATGTGAGGACAGATATTCGCCGGTGCTGTTATATATCGTGAAATGACAGAAGTTAGGAATGAAGATTAACCCAATTACCGTCAAAAACGTTTGGTGGTCTACGAAGGTCCTGAGTTCAATCCCTGATAGGGTCATAAGTGCATACTGATGATGAGTCTGGAACCAGGACCAAGCAGCTGGCCAGTACTCCCTGAAAGTTATTCAATGGTTCTCTAACTGCTATCAATCGGTGTACCAGGAAAATTGTCTGGAAAATCCCACCTCCACGATCGAATCACAGTGTTTAGATCCATTTCGGAGTTTCAATCAACTTTGTAATCATCATCTCTTCTTATCCTAGACTTTATACCACTTTTCTGACAATCGTATTTCACAGGTTGATTTCATCAATATTATTTGTCTTTGTTCCTGTTCATTCTCTAAATATAATGATTCTGCTTGTCGTGATGATGTTGTGATAATGTTTTTACGAGTTGATCATGGATTGATATCAGTTAGAGAACCATTGAATAAAACCACGGAGTACTGGACAGCAGTTTCATCAGCCTAGTTTGGGAATCACCGGCAGGATACACCCATCACCAGGGCTCGAACCCAGGACCTTCCGGTTACAACGCAAACTCGTATACCACTACTCAGCCACTGGGACCCAATCCAATGGCCAACTCATGAATTATCACTTCTACCGATTCGTGATTTTGCACAACCCCAACCAATCTCGTAGGTGGGCGATCCATCCTCACACGTGACATCTGGATGGACCTCACTGGTCACGACTTCTCACTAGAACTCCAGGAAACTCCATCCTGTGGCAAGTCACTAGCGAGCATCAACGGTTGGGGTTGCGCTAAATCACGAATTGGTAGAAGTTATGATTCATGAGTTGGCCATTGGATCGGGTCCCAGTGGCTGAATAGTATACGAGCTTGCCTTGTAACCGGGATGTCCTGGGTTCGAACTCTGTCAGTGGGTGCATACTGCCGATGATTCCTAAACTAGACTGATGAAACAGCTGTCCAGTACTCCGTGGTTTTATTCAATGGTTCTCTAACTGATATCAATCCATGATCAACTCGTAAAAACAAGACTAATCGTTACAAACCAAACTATAGGAAATTGATAATGTGTTGTTTTACGACCGAATTATGGTCGTTGCTATCTTCGACTGTCCACAGGAATTCTTTGATGTGTGATTTCTATGAACAGAGATTCTGACGCCATCTTGTTGGAAGTATTCTAGTTGATTCTAATTACTCGCCTTGTACATAGACTAAAGTCTATAGTTGTCTAACAGCACTGTTGAGATATTTTTGAAATTTTGATGTTTTCGTTATTGAATAGAAAAACTCACACTCACACATACACACATAGATCCCAATCACAAACATGAGTCTTTTTGGTGTTTTTTGAACGTTTAGTGACTGAGTCTGTCTTAAAGAGGCTTCGGGCAGCTACACAGTAGAACGCAAAGATCGGTTCCATACATTCAAACCTCAACCACTACTAGGTTTTCTTCTTCTTTCTTTCCTTCACGTTCCCCAGTGGAACATAGGGCAGCTTCAAGCTAGAGCCAGCTTGAAGTTTCTGTAGCAGTGTTTACTTTTACAGGATGGGGTTGCTAGACTCATGCTCAACCTTTCCTCTTTACCAGCTTTATTTCTGGCTTAGCGAGGTAAAGGAGTGCGTCGGCCGGGGATCGGCCCCCGGACCATGTGCATGGTCGGCGAGCGTCCCAACCGCTATGCCACTGACGCTCGAGTAGCTCGTTGGCAACGTCTCTCACTGCAGCATTGCACCGGGTGACACGGGTTCGAATCTCAGAAGTGATCTGAATTCCTTCAAGGTTGTGGATACACCTTGCTGACATAGAGGAATAATTGGTCTAAATTTAACAGATTTTGACTTGCTGTGAATTGCTTTCCAAATTAAAGTTTATCTTGATGGACCATATCTTCATCGACTTACTGATATTTTTTTTATTCTAGCTCCGCAAACTTCTTTCTTCAGGAATGTTTTACATTGCTCGGTCAATTGTTGATGGTACACCGTATGATTTGTCTGTCAACATTCAGAATCGAAGTCGTTTGGGTGATGACTTTTGGAATACCGCTGATGTATATTCTCGAAGTGATACTGGTATGAATTTCCTGTGGCATAAAGGGTTAATAGGACCATTAATACGAGCTGGGATTAATCCCAATGACTGTCTGGTATCCATAATTTGTGGTGGATTTGAGGTTTCCACAGTCTACTGTGGTGTTGGCCAAGTGCGGGTTGGAGTTGTTTCAAGAGTTAAGACTCAGCGGCCTGGTACTCGTTTTCATGTTCGCGGGATAAATGATAATGGCGATGTAGCAAATTTTGTAGAAACAGAACAGGTAGGTAAATGTGTCCTTAGACTTATATGTTAGCTTTGGAATTGTTTTATTAACAGACCGAAATGCTATTTTACATGTTCCTTACACTTTTGACGTTGTTGTTTTGATTTAAAACTTTAGATCTTTCATTTAAGTGTGCAACATCATCTAATGCCATGAATTTCATTTTAAATATATTGTAATTCCAAAGTTATCACGCTGTATTGACATATGTAGGTGTAGGCAGAATGTTAACTTCAGGGATGTCCGTTGTTCCCATATCTATCTGATTTCATCATAGATACATTAATCGATATGATTATAATCGACTTTAGTGACTTAATGTTTGATTAGTTAATAGGAAACAGTGTCGTCAATTTAGAGTATTCAGTTGATATAATTCTTCTAGATGCTAACAATATGTAAAGTCTTCTGGACACCTTGAGCAGAAATCTTGGAGTTTCTGACCTGCTATTCGTCGCTATCAAATGTAAGACGGTGCTGCAGATTTGGTCCCCACTGACTCTTAAGCTTGTGATATCACGGAGAGAATTTCAGCTTCTTTGAATATAACATTCTTCGCAACAATGCTAAGAGTAGTGTTCTCCAGTCGTCCATTGATCTTCAGGAACCTTAGGGACAAGATCCCGCATCTGACAACTTCTGTTTGCGTATACCAGTACACCTGTTGCTATGATACCAAGTACATTGATCATTCAACGCGCATCCTGTTCGAAATTGTTCAAGAACGCTACCCAGCATGGCTAAAAAAACGTAATAACGGCTCTATAAAGAGTGCGATAATCGAACATCTCATCAACATTGATCGTTCCATCTCAACAAACGCCTCCTTCAAAGTGATCTACAGCCTAATAAAATCCAAGTTGGTCATTATAAAAACTTGACACCTAATTGATTATTTGATTTTTAATGCTGCCTTAATTAGCAATTACCATAGTAATTTTAGCCTTTAGAATTAGTCATGCGGAAGTCCGTTGAATTATTCTCAGACCATAATAAAACTTTACTGATTATTGATTTGTGTATGTTAAACATCCCTCCTGCTGGGTGCTTTTCTTTTTATAAACTACAGCTTTGGCTATGTGTGTGTACGTGTGTGTGTGTGTGTGTGTGTTCATACAATATTATTAGACTATCGAAATTACTGAGTTCATAATTTACTGTGGTTAACCATGTGACCATTTGAGTAGTACTCAACGCACAACCAATCAAATAGCAATTATAATAACAATAATAATAGTGATAATCATGAGTTTGTTGTTTAACTATGATTACTATCAGATGAGTGACGTACAAATAACTAAAAGTGTGTTTGACTGGAGGGGTGGGGGCGGGGAAGGGGGCTATGCATTTCTTCGATTTACTAATTGGTGTGTGCGTTTTGAAAGAAGAAATGCAGTCATGTGACTATATACTAAGGAAACAGAATTATTTACAAAGTAGTTATTTACTGTTTTTAAAACTAAATTGTATCTAGTATAAAGGCTGAAATGCATCTATCATAGAACTACTACTACTACTAATAATAATAATCATAATAATTAGTCTAATTACATAATTGTAATTAAAACTGCAATTTTACTTGATAAAACATAGAGTGACACAGTATTATTTACAATTTGATTGACTGGACTAATCGTTAAATGAATTATTTAAAAAGAATTCTAAAATGATTACAGGATTTCATCACGAGCTGACATTATCGGTTAGAGAACCATTGGAAAACCAGCACTGGAGTACTGGACAGCTAGTTGTTTTGTCAGCCTAGTTTGGGACTCTTTAGCAACAACCAGAACCTTCTGGTTACAAAGAAAGCTAGCTCGTAGACAATTAAGCCATTGGAACCCGTCAATCCAATGGCCAGCGTATGAATTTGTGCGTCGGTGGCACAGTGGTTAGGACTCTCGCCGACCATGCACATGGTCCGGGGTTCGAGCCCGCACCGACGCACACCTGATATCTATGGTCGGCCTGCAAAATTTGGGCTACCGATATCCATGCTGAAAATTCCATACTTGTACCGAAAATACAGTGTGGAATCAAGCTGTAAATCAAAAAATAAATAAAAATGAATTCTAACTTCTGCCAATTCATGATATATACCGCGACCACTTGGCAATGTCTTCTTCTATGAGTTGCTGCTTCACCTTCAACTTGTTGTAGCCTACTGGTCACGGCTTCCCACTAGAACCCCAGGTAACTGCCTGAAGAGTCTCAAACTAAGCTAACAAAACAGCTGTTTAGTACTCCCTGAAGGTTTTCCAATGATTTTTCAACTTATGTCTGCTCATGATGAAACCCTTCAACCAATCGGACGAAATTTCTACGAAACCAGTACTTCAAAAATTCATGAAATTAGTTAAGCAGCTAAATGCATACACAATAACAGTGGCCCAGGTGGTCTAGTGGATAACACTTCGGCATTTGAAACTACGGACACTGTGTTTGAGCCTCGGTAGGCACATCGTCAGTCACTGTGGAATGCAGGTACGCCCAGATGACAAGTTTCAAATAGGATGAAATGCGTATCTTGGATTCCACTTGTAGTCACCATCCACCAAGTAACTTCTAGTAGTAATAATAGCTGTATGATGCCCAATAAGTTTACACCATATGCATAGTTTTCAACGTAGTTTATTGCATAATATCTTCCCTTCATCCAGGAGTTTCAAGTAAAACAGTCATCTCCAGTACATCATTTGACGCAGTGACGTTAGATCTAAAGAATAAAATAATCCCTTACGGTATAACTTTTTGGTTCCTCAAAATTGAGCAGCAGTAGGTTGTAAACCAATTAAAAATGTGTATGAGTATATTTAGCAATACATAGACGTAACTGAATGATTTATAGTAACAAGGACTGAAGAAATCAAAATGCATCATCTCGTATTGAAATTCAGGTAGCCCAGTGATTCAAGCAGGCCGACAAAAATGTTAATCAGCTGTTTCTATTAACAGAAAGTTAAAATTCGAAGAGATAATGGTCTGAAATTTGATCACGGATCGTAATCATCAAAGCTAAAATCATTATGGTTTAAGCACAAGGAACCGATCTCTACGTTCTACTATATAGACGACCAAACATTCCTTTAGAGATACACAGTGACCAGTAGGGTACAGTAGATCGGGTACAAGGACAAATATTTACCACCGATGACAATCGGTAGTGGTTGCGCTATATCATGAACTGGTAGAAGTTAGAATTCATGTGCTGGCCATTGGATTGGCGGGTCAAAATGGCTTGATGGTCTAGGAGCTAACTCGCCTTGTATCCAGAAGGTTGTTGATTCGAACCCCTCGTGTGGGTGAGTGCTGATGAAGAGTCGCAAACTAGGCTGACGAAACAGCTAGCTGTCCAGTCCTCTCTGCGGGTTTTTCAATGGTTCTCTAAATGATGTCAGTTCATAATGAAATCTTGTAATGTAGTTATAAAATGCTCCAATAATAGCAGAAAGACGGTTACTTACAGTAAAATTCGTGGTTCTATTCAACAATAACAACATAGAAATATCTAAATCACATCAACAATGCCATTGGACAACTAAACAGTTCAGTCTATGTGCATAAACGAGTAATTAGAATCTGGTAGAATACTTCCAACAAGGTGGCGTCAAAATCTCTGTTCATAATAATCAGACATCAAAGAATTCCTGCGGACGAAATGGCAGCCGTAAAACAACACGTCATAAATATCTTATTAAAAGGGAAGAATTAAAACTAGGTAATAAACACGGACAAAGACAAATAATAATGATGAAATCAACATATTATATGCAAATGTTATAACAGTGATATACAGTCTAGGAGTAGAATGGATAATAATTACAAAGTTGCTAAAGTATTGGTTTGTAGGAATTTGATTGATTGGTTACAGGATTTCATCATGAAGTGACATTTTCGGTTAAAGAACCACTGAGTATTGGACTGATATTTCATCCAAGTCTCAGACTCTTCATCAGTATGCCCCCATAACCATATCAAGGATGGAACCTAGGCCCTTCTGGTTTCAAGGCGAGCTTGTAGACCATTAAGTCCTTTAGACCCGACTCAATGGCTAGCCCGTGAATCCCAAATTCTATCAATTTATGACATAGCGTGACAACTAGCCAATGTCTTCGGCGGAGTTGTTTAAAACTTCGAAATGAGTATGAATATTGTGATTCGATCTTCAAGGTACAATTTTCCAAACAATCTTTCTTTTACACCTACAGCTATTCACTTAATCAATCCTCTTTTGACTGGTTCTATAGACGCTGAGGTGATGACCACTTATGAGCTATCTAGGGATTCATTATTAGATACTCCTAAGAACAAAAAGGAACAATGAGAATCTTTCTCATCGACGAACTGATGAATAGACAATTAATTGATGGAATTAACTATCGAGTAGGCTGTCGACACATTAACTGTTCTTTATAAGATTGAAATAAAATTGGCTTTGACTTTAGTTTTATTGTGTAACAGAGTGTTTAGTTTTCTTGTTGTTGGTGGTGTTGTTGTCTATGGTGACTAGAATGAGGCACCAGTCACGATACTGTACCCAACAGATCACTTGAAAATATTCCCCCACACTGGGAAGACACACAGACACACAAGTCAGGTTTAGCTGATACAATAACGTTATTCTACTCAATACAGAGTGAATTCTTCCTTAAACATTAGCGGAAATTTAAACCATGAATAATCAATGTTCATTTGCTTGTATCCGTTATGATTTTACGGTTAACCATGATAGTAAGAGACTGTCCTAACAATTTTTACCATTTTCACTGGGTATAAACGCATAGTGGGCACCAAATAAAATGACTTTGATTCGACCAATCAGATAGCTCAGCATTACAAGTGGATGCTAGTCATAATCCTCGTAGAAAATGTCTCCTAGATTTGGTTTTTGAATTCTCTGTGGAAAATGTGTTGATAGGAAGGAGTAAAACATGGATATGTGGAGGGATAATGACTCCGCAAAAGTATTGCCGGGCTATTGATGGTTATACATTCAGATGCAACCACCTTGTATGAGGAAGTTGGTTAGATATACTTAATTGGTGATTCTTTTAGACACTTTCTTCTCAAAATCAAAGCTCTCCCTTAGTAATATATTGCGTATATGCAACCAGTATCTGCTACAGCGAGAAACAAATTCATCAATCTGAAACCAA